TCAACTTCCTATTTAGCAAACATACCGGATAAGCGAGATATTGAGAATTCTTGACATTCAAAGTAGATACCCGGTAACTTCAGCTCGCAGCTTGCTCAAAAGGACCTCTGTGTTGAACACTGGGCACCAGCATTTTCGAGCATGTTCCACATTCACCAGCCACACACACCCCGTGTGTTCGGGCTTTGGTATCCGACTGTTATCAGCTTTAACAGCCCTAATGGCACACCTCCAATCCACTTGCACCTTTGTTCTGTACCTCATGCACTGGCGACAATCATTACTGCTGTAAGGGCACAGCACACTCAGGGACATGGATCCAGCTCATGGACTGGATCAGGCTCATCTCTATCATGTTCACGTGCAGTCATCACACTCGTTCACTTCAAGCCTACCTGAATGCTTACAGCATCCCTGCCTTGTACTGCCTTTTTGAGCTTTGCCCCCTCAGTCAGAGAAACCAGGCTGATATTACTTCTGTAGAGCTGGATGAACACAGCAGGCCAAGCAGCAGCAGAGGAGCGGGAAGGCCGATGTTTCGGACAAAGACCTTTCTTCAGAAAAAGGGTCTTTTCTGAAGAAGGGTCTAGGCCCGAAACATTGGCCTTCCTGCTCCTCTGATGCTGCTTGGTCTGCTGTGTTCATCTAGCTCTACACCTTGTCATCTCAGATTCTCCAGCATCTGCAGTTCCTACTATCTCTGATATTACTTCTGTGTTGCTTTGTCATTTAATGCAGACACAAAGCTAGGAAGCTTATCATAGTTGTCAGCAGGCATCAGTCAAGCTAAGGGAGGCAGTTTTCACTCAAACAATGCCAGCATGTAAGTCAAGGACACCCTCCGGGGAAAAGAAAGGTCAGCCTCTGATACCTTAGAATGCTCTTGACTTTCTTTCCCTGTTTTGACCTGCTATTTTCCTAGAATGAGAGGCATCCATTATAGAAGATGGAAATGCAAGGCACAGCTATTAATGGTGGTGCAGGATGGGGAGGTGTCCCCTGCAGAATTGCTGTACTGTGGCCGAACCAAAGTTCTGTACATCTCCCACATGACTTCCTTGGTCTTATAAACTATGCCACAACTGAGAAGTGTCCCATATGCCTTATTGACTACTGTATTAATCTGACCTGCTACCTTAAGGGATCTGTAGACAAATATCCCAAGATCCCTCTGTTGCTCTGAATTTCCTAGAGCCTTGCCATTCGTTGAATATTCCCTTCTATTGTTCTGTCTTCCAAGTTTCATTGCCTCATATTTATCAGGGTTAAACTCCATCTCCATTGATCCGCCCATCTGACCAATCCTTTTGTATCCTACTATAACAATCCGGTCAAATCTTTGTCATCTGCAAACTTGCATCATTTATGAATATTACAAACATTAAGTGGTTAACACTGATCCCTGTGGTATACTGCTGCACAGTGGGCTCCAGTCACACAAGCCACCTACAACCACCACCCTTTGTCTTTAATTATCAAGCTGATTTTGGATCCACTAACCTTGGAAGGGTCAGATATCAGAAAATTCAGGGGACATGATTGGGGGTAACAGAGAATTGAAGCACTCAATAGGGATTGAGCTGAAGGAATAGTAAGTTAGAGATAAGTAGGAAGAGCATTTTTTAAATTTGCTTTACTTTCAATTTGCTTTATTTTCAAAGTTATTGTGTTTGCAACTACAGTTGTTTAGCAGTAATGTGATTTGATTGATTTTATTGCCACATGTACTAAATACAATGGAAAAACTTTGTTTACGAGCTGTACAGGCAGATCAAAGCAAGCAAAGGATATACAGATCAAAAAGACTTAGAGGCATACAGGTTACATTGCAGGTTACATTTTTTGAGGCTAGAGTCCATTCAACAGTCTGATAATAGTTGGAAAGAGACTGTTCCTGAACCTGCTTGTGTTCAGGCATCTGTATCTTCTGCCTGACGGAAGAGGTTGTAGGAGGTCGTTACAAGGGTGCAATGGGTCTTTGATGACGTTAGCCGCCTATCCGCAGCAGCGAGCCATGTAAATAGTGTCCATGGATGGAAGGTTAGCTTACGTGATGGTCCAGGCTGTGCACACCACTTTCTGCAGTTTCTTACAGTCCTGGGCAGAGCAGTTGCCATACCAGGCTGTTATGCGCCAGATAGAATGTTTTCTATTTTGCATCTGTAAAAGTCGGTGAGGGTCCTTATGAACATGCTGAATTTCCTGAGCTGTCTGAGGAAGAGGAGGCTTTGTTATGCCTTCTTGACTCTCGCATTTACATGAGAAGTCCAGGAACTTGATGCTCTCCACCTTCTCAACCTCAGTTCTGTCAATGTAGATGGGGGCGTGTTCTCCTCCTTTCTTTCTGAAGTCCATGATTAGTTCTTTAGTTTTCCCGAGAGACCGATTGTTTTCATTGCACCACATCACCAAGCCCTCTATCTCCCTTCTGTATTTTGACTCATTAGATATCCGTCCCACTACGGTGTTGTCAACAGCGAACTTGTAGATGGCATTGTTCAGAATTTGGCAACACAGATGTACAGGGAATACAGTAGGGGGCCAGGACTCATCCTTGTGGGGCTCCAGTGTTGAGTGTTATTGTGGAGGAGGTGCAGTTACCTATCCTCACTGATTGCGGCCTGTGGGCCAGAAAGCTGAGGATCCAGTTGCAGAGGATGGAGCCAAGACCAAGGAGATGCAGTTTTGAGATCAGTTTGGAAAGGATAATTGCGTTGAAGGCAGTATCCAGTATTTAAACCTACGGGATATATTGTTTATTTTTTTACTAATGGAAAAGGTCCTAATAACTGATTTTACATTGGGGAAAATGGGAAAATCTGATTTATGCAATGTTCAGATCCAAGGAATAGTCTGAAGCGTCATATTCAACTTGGAATGCTAACTGTTTTTCGCTCAATGCTACCACTCTGCCGTCTATTTCTAGCACTTTGTTTAAATGTCCTTAATCTCTACTGTTTGTTTCCTACTCAGAATTTCTTAGCAAAGTTATAATTTGTTTTCAATTTGTCCATCTTCACCTTTAGCTGGTAGTCTTTTATGAGCAACTTCCGGAAAACCACACAAATAACATTCATAGACATTCCCAGAAATTTTTGAAAAACTCAGCACCTGTGGAGAGAAAGCAGAGTTAACATTTCAGGTCCAGTGACCTTTCTTCAGAACAGTTCTGAAGAAGGGTCACTGGACTGAAATGTTAACTTTGCTTTTTCTCCATAGCTGCTGAGTTTTTCCAGAAATTTCTGGTTTTGTTTCTATTTCCAGCATTCACAGTTCTTTGTTTTTTTTTTCATAGACATTTGTTGGTCCACTAGCCACCTCTTCAAAACATTATAACCTACTCTGCTGTCTCTGATCAGCTGAAAATTTTCAAGGTGTTCAGACACTTATTCCTTAATTATAGACTTTGCAATTTTCCAGCAACAGACGTTAGGTAAAGCAGTGTATACACTAACTCCCCATTTAATGTTGTTTTTAAAATCTGCAAGAATGGGCACATGAAGAGAGAGGTCATAGACACTATACAACAGATATATTTGATAACTTGTGTACAGTGTTACAGTAAATAGAGTTGAGGCTTTCTAAGAGATGAGGAGCAAGCAGCCTCAGGGGCAGTATGTGTTCAGACATCCACAGATACTCCAGGCTAATTGTCTCAATGTGCGGATAGTATTGGCATGAAGCACAAGATAAAACAGGATGTGGTGATCTGAGACAAAAAAAACTGCAGATGCTGGAATCCAAGGTAGACAAACAGGAGGCTGGAGCAACATAGCAAGCCCGGCAGCATCTAGAGGAAAGGAGCAGTCAACATTTCGGGTATAACCCTTCTTCAGGACTGGATGTGGGGGTCGGAGGAGCTGCAGATAAAGAGAGGAGGGGAGGGATGGAGGCGGAATGGTGGTGATAGGTGGACGCTGGTAGTAGGTATGACTTGTTTGATCAATAGGAGGGATGAATCCAGTTAGTAGCTAGGAGGGAGTGTCAGAAGGTGGAATGGAAGGGAGGAGATGGGGCTGGAAGGGGAGCCAGCGGATGTGTGGGTAGCTTATTTGCAATTGGAGAACAGAATGTTGAGTCCTCTGGGTAGTAGGGTGCCCAGGTGGAAGATAAGGTGGTGTTCTTCAAATTTGCGCTGTGAGTCGCTGCGACACTGAAGGAGGCTGAGATCAGACATGTCGGAGCGGGAGTGGGGCAGGGAGTTTAAATGGGCAGTGACCAGGAAGTTAGGTTGGCAGTTACATGCCAGGGGAAGATTCCCAGCAAAACAGTCACCTATCCTACATTTGGTCTCACCGATGTAGAGAAGACCACATCGGGAGCACTGGATGCCATAGACTAGTTTGGAGGAGATGCAGGTGAAGCGCTGTCTCACTTGGAAGGACAGTTTAGGGCCCTGAATGGAGGTGAGGGAGGTGGTGTTTGGGTAGGTGTTGCATCTTCTACGGTTACAGGGGAAGGTACCAGGTGGGTTAGTGGGGTGTGTGGAGCGAACAAATGAGTGGTGAAGGGAATGGTGCTTGTGGAAGGCAGAGAGGGATGAGGAGTGGAAGATGTTCTGGGTGGTGGAGTCTGATTGGAGTTGGCGGAAGTGTATGAGGATGATACGTTGAATGCGGAGGCTGGTGGGGTGCGAAGTGAGGACAAGGGGGACCCTATCTTTAATATGTTTGGGAAGGTGTGGTTAAGAGCTGTGGAGCAGGGAATGGAGGAGGTTTTTCTTTGCCTATGTTTAATGTTGTGCTGTGAGACTTCATGGGGCCTCGAATGAATACTGTAAGGACCCAGGCCACACTCTGCTTACTATGTATGACTGTGCTGTTTACACTTCAGGTGGCTCTGTCTCTTTTCAAATACATTTTGAAAGTAAAATAAAGGTTGTTTTGACAGTTATCTACGTGAAAGGAAGTTTTGTAATTTTATTTTTAAGAAGACCTCTGATATTTTAAGGAAAAGATAGTAAACCTGTTGAAAATGTAATACCATAATTTCTACTTTATGCTCAATAGATTGTAGACATGATCCACCTGAGAATCCACCTCCGGTTGCTGTTCCCTTGCTAGAAATGGGGTTTTCTTTGAGACACATTTGCAAAGCTGTTGATGCTGCAGGTACAGTAAATCAGTTTGAGATGCCAGTTCAGTTAATGTTTTCTGATATGCGTGTTCATGGCAAAATAGACATTTCAGGACAATGCTGATCTTGGATTTGCAATGCGTTGTTGAATATAAGGTGGGCATATAATTTTATTATATGAAGTATTGATCAGATCCCTATCAATTCTGAATATCTCCAATATGACTTCACTTTGCCCAGAAGCACTGAACTCAGTTTATTTCAAGATTTTTGCCATTTTAAATTGAAAAATGATATTAAATACCAGATTCAAATGCAGAGACATTGTCATATGTTTCTAAAATTCAGTCTGTTTGTTAATCAAGGATTTATTTTAAGATTTTGGCAAAGATCTGTAGCTCGGGTTGTGGGTGAGGTTGTTGACTTGTCGCTGAGCTGGGCTTGTTTTTGTTCAGACGTTTCGTCACCATGCTAGGTGACAGCATCAGTGGATCCTCCGATGAAGCGGTGTTATTCTACTCCGCTTGGAATTTATACTGTCCAGTCAATTATGGTGAGTACTGTCATTTCCGGTTTTGATCTGTGTATAGGAGGTTTTTCTTTGCCTATGTTTAATATTGATGGCCTTCATTGTCTGAATGTACTGACAATGAAGGCCATCAATTTAACTAGGACAGAGTAACCATAGTAGCCCAAGCCAAACATAGACACGCATGGGAATTCCTAGAGGCATGGCTCTTCACCCATACTTCAATCAACAAACATAGAATTGGACCCCATATACAATCCCATACAGATCAAAACCAGAAATGACAGTACTCACCATAATGGACTGGACAGTATAAATTCCAATCGGAGTAGAATAACATTGCTTCATTGGAGGCTCTACTGATGATGTCACCTAGCATGGTGACGAAACATCTGACAAAAACAAGCCAGCTCAGCGAGCAAGTCAACAACCTCAAGGATTTATTTACTACAGAGCAACTTCTATTTAAATGTTTCAGCTCACAAAAATGTGCAAAGAAAAATGAAGACTAAGTTTTTAGGAGTAGTGACCAAAATTTTGCCTGAAGGAGTTAATTGTCCAAACGAAAGTGGTTAGAGAAACTTAAAATGAACATAGAACATAGGATAATAGATTGTGCCAACCCATTATCCTACTCTAAGATCAAACTACCCTGCATACCCTACATTTTACTATCATCCTTGTACCCATGCAAGAGTCGCTTAAATGTCCCTAATGTATCTGACTCCACTACTCCTGCCAATGAAAGCCAACACACCATACGCCTTCTTAACAACCCTATCAACTTGGGTAGCAACTTCGAGGGATCTGTGGACGTGGACCCCAAGATCCCTCTATTCCTCCTCACTGCGACAAATCCTGCCGTTAACCCTGTATTCTACATTCAAATTCAACCTTCCAAAATGAATTACTTCACACTTTTCTGGGTTGAATTCCATCTGCCACCTCTTTGCCCAGCTCTGATCCTGCCAATGTCCTGTTGCAACCTACGACAGCCCTCCACGCTATACACAACTCCACCAATCTTACTAACCCACTCTTCCATTTCCTTATTTTATAAAGATCACAATAAATGAAATTCCAGAAAATGTGTTCCAGGTGGCTGTAAGAAGTATGGTAAATTGTGGGCAAATGAAGGGCATAGATACAGGATTGGCTGACTAGCAGAAGGCAAAGAATAGGAATAAAGGGGTCTTTTTCAGAATGGCAGCTGGTGACTAGTGGAGTTCTGCAGGGGTCAGTGTCAGGGCCACAACTATTCACGTTATACATTAATGATCTGGCAGCAGGAACACTGTTACTAGGTTTCCAGATGAGACAACAATAACTGGAGGAACTGGTAGTGTTGAAGCACGGAAGCTTCAGAAGGACTTGGTAGGCTAGAAAATTGAGTAAGGATATGACAGATGGAATACAATGTCAGAAACTGTAAGGTTATGCACTTTGTTAGGAAGAATAAAAGTGCAGCCTTTTTTTTAATGGGGAAAGGCTTTGGAAATCTGAAGCACAAAGGTCTTGGGAGTCCTTGTTCAGAATTTTCTAAGGTTAACATCAGGTTCGTTTGGCATTTAGGAAGGCAAATGCAATAGCATTCATCTTGAGAGGGCTAAAATGCAAGAGCAGCAATGTACTGCTGGTGCTGTAAAAGGATCTGGTCAGACCTCATTTGGAATATTTTGAGCAGTTTTGGGCCTCATATCTAAGGAAGAATGTGCTGGCCTTGGAGGGTGTCCTTGGAGGAGATTGTCATACGAGAAGCGGTTGAAACCTCTGGATCTGTACTTGATGTCATTTAGAAGGATGACGGGGGGGATCTGATCGAAACTTTCAGAATATTGAGAGGCTGGATAGAGTGGATGTGGAGAAGATGCTCCCCCTTGTAGGACAGACTAGGACCCGAGGGCACAGCCTCGAGACAAGGAACGATCCTTTAGAGCTGAAATGAGGAATTTTTTCAACGAGAGGGTGGTGAATCTGTGGAACTCATTGCTACAAAGAGCTGTGGAGACCAAATCATCGATGGTATTTAAGACACAGGTTCTTGATTAGTGAGGGGATCAAAGGTTATGGGGAGGTGGCAGGGGAATGGGGCAGAGAAATATATCAGCCATGATTGAGGAACGTAAAGAGCTTGTAAGAATATAAAGAAAACAGGAAAGTAGGAGAGCAAGAAGGTGCCATGAAATGACCTTGACAAGTAGGGTCAAAGAGAATCCCAAGGCATTCTGTACATACATTAAAAACAAAACAATAACTACAAAGAAAAGAGGCCCACTCAAGGATAAAGGAGGAACTTGTGCTTGGAGGCAGAGGATGTGGGCAAGATCCTAAATATGTACTTTGCATCAATATTCACCCAGGAGAAGGATATGGAGGATAGTAAGATTGATGTTAAGCATGCTAATATGCTACGGCATTTTGAGATCAAGAAAGAAGTGGGACTTTCGAAGAGCATTAAGGTGGATAAGTCCCCAGGGCCCAATGGAATTAACCCAGGTTATTGAGTAAGGCAAGAGAGGAAATTGCTGGGGTCTTGACCATCCTCATTAGCCACTGGAGAAGTCCTGGAGGATTGATAAGTGGTTAATGTTATTCCTCTATTCAAGAAGGGAAATAAGGATAATCCAGGAAACTACAGATTGGTGAGTCTTACATCGGTGGTTGGGAAGCTATTGGAGAGAATTCTTAGAACGAAGAACAAAGAAAATTACAGCACAGAAACAGGCCCTTCGGCCCTCCAACCCTGCGCCGATCCAGATCCTCTATCTAAACCTGTCGCCTATTTTCCAAGGATCTGTATCCCTCTGTTCCCTGCCCATTCGTGTATCTGTCTAGATACATCTTAAATGACGCTATCGTGCCCGCCTCTACCACCTCCACTGGCAACGCGTTCCAGGCACCCACCACCCTCTGCGTAAAGAACTTTCCACGCATATCTCCCTTAAACTTTTCCCCTCTCACCTTGAAATCGTGACCCCTAGTATTTGAGTCCCCCACTCTGGGGACTCTTGCTATCCACCCTGTCTATACCTCTCATGATTTTGTAGACCTCAATCAGGTCCCCCCTCAACCTCCATCTTTCTAATGTAAATAATCCTAATCTACTCGACCTCTCTTCGTAGCTAGCACCCTCCATACCAGGCAACATCCTGGTGAACCTCCTCTGCATCATCTCCAAGGCATCCACATCTTTTTGGTAATGTGGCGACCAGAACTGTACACAGTATTCTAAATGTGGTCGAGGGTTAGGATTTATGCACATTTGGAAAAGCATGGCTTAATTAGGGACAGTCGGTGTAGCTTTGTGCAGGGCAGGTCATGTCTTTCTTACTTGACTGAATTTTTGGAGGAGGTGACGAAGGTGATCGATGAGGGAAGAGCATTGGGTGTTGTCTACATGGATTTTAGTAAGGCTTTCGACAAGGTCTCTCACTGTATGCTCATCTAGAAGATTAAGATGCATGGGATCCATGGTAACTTGGCCACGTGGATTCAGAATTAGCTTGCCCTTCGATGGTAGAGGGTAGTGGTGGAAGGTTGTTTTTCAGACTGGAGGTCCATGACCCGTGATGTTCTGCAGGGATCCGTACTGGAACCTCTGCTGTTTGTGATGTATATAAATAACTTGGATGAAGATATAGATGGGTGGGTTAGTAAGTTTGCAGATGATGCAAAGATTGGTGGAATTGTGAATAGTGTAGAAGGCTGTCGAAGGATACAGCAGGATATAGATCAGTTGCAGATATGGGTGGAGAAATGGCAGATGAAGTTTAATCCATGCAAGTGTGAGGTGTTGCACTTTGGGAGATGAAATGTTAAGGAAAAGTATACAGTTAATGGCAGGATCCTGAACAGCATTGATGTACAGAGGGATCTTGGCGTTGATATACAGAGGGATCTTGGCGTTCATGACCAGAGCTCCCTGAAAGTGGCCATGCAGCTAGATGGGGTGGTAAAAAAGGCCAAAAGCATGCTTGCCTTTATTGGTTCAGGAATTGAGTACAAGAGTCAGGACGTCATGTTGCAGCTTTATAATACTTTGGTTAGGCCACACTTGGAGTACTGCGTTCAGTTCTAGTCGCCACTTTACAGGAAGGGTGTGGAGGCTTTGGAGAGGGTGCAGAAGAGGTTTATCAGGGTGCTTCCTGGATTAGAGGGTATGAGCTAAAAAGAGAGATTAGAAATACTCATGTTGATTTCTCTGGAGCAGGGGAAACTGAGGGGAGACTTGATAGAAGCCTATAAAATTATGGAATGCTTAGATTAGGGTTGATGTTCAGAATCTTCTTTTCCAGAGTTGAAATATCTAAAACTAGGGGGTATGCATTTAAGTTGAGAGGTGGAAAGTTCAAAGGAGATGTGAGGGACAAGTTTTTTTTACACAGTGTGGTAGGAGTCTGGAACCCACTGCTAGGGGTGGTGGTGGAGGCAGATACAATAGGGGCATTTCGGAGACGTTTAGATAAGCATATGAAAAAGCTAGGAATGGACGGATATGGATCACGGACACGCAAAATTAATATTTAATCTGGTGTCATGTTCGGCACAACATCGTAGACTGAAGGGCCCATTCCTGTGCTGTATAATTCCATGTTCTATATTCAATGATTGAACAATAGAGCATACTTGATGGGTGGAATGGTGTAATTCTGAATCATAGAATCCTGACCATTTGGAAGCAGGTCATTCGACCCATTGAGTCCACACCGACCCTCCAAAGAGCTTCCCAGCCATGCCCATGTCCTACCCTATCCCTGTAACCCTGCATTTCCCATGGCTAATCCACCCAGCCTGCATATTATGGGCAATTTAGCATGGTCAATCCACCTAACGCGCACATCTTTGGATCCCAGAACATCTTTGGACTATGGGAGGAAGGCACAGCACCAGGAGAAAACTCGCACAGACAAAGGGATAATGTGCAAACTCCATACAGACAGTCACCTGAGGCTGGAATCATTCCGGGTCCCTGGTGCTGTGAGACAGCAAAGCTAGCCTCTGTGTCACTGTGCTGCCCCTATATCTTATGGTCAGAGAAGAATGGTTACCTTTCATGTGTCTGGAATAATTACCTGCTGGCTAGAATGAGTTTTACTGGTATCAAATTTTTCGGGCCACTCTGTTCAGAACCACTGCCAAATTCAGCTAAAAATAGACCTCGGTAAGAGGATGCTTAATCAGATAGGAAACTGAAGGAGCAACATACTAGTTAAAAGACCGAAGAGGGAGATTAGTGGTCAACGCTACTACAGTATCATTGACATCTGGAGGCAGCAGAGGAGGAGAGGGCCAATGTGTGGACTGGGGCCTGTGCAATCAAAATATGAAATATGCCTCTATGTTCTTAATCCTCCAGCTTAATTCTGTTTAAGAAGGTAGAATAGTTTATCCAATATGTCTTGTGAGGATCTGATTCTAAATAATACAATAACAGAAATACTAAAGTTACAAAATGATGACTTCTTGAATGTATTTGTAATTTGTCAGATTTAGTGTTTGTCTTTATCAAGTACCTTTCTGATCTGTGTGCATAAGTAAACAAAAACATTGTTAATTCTGTATGTGCAGGTGTTTCTGGGGATGCAGATCCACAATTGATTGAACAGCTAGCCAGCTGGATGCTGGAACATCCACTAGCAGAGGAACAGGAAGTCATTGTTTACTCCTCAGCAACAATTGAGAATGATTTGGAGGTACCTGTGGAGTCTGAGGTTATAGTACACAATCGTGCAACAAGACCTGTATCTCCAGAAGCTGTTGACAGGGAAGATGCAATTGAAGGGTAAGCAACAAGTCTGAAGAAGAGTGTTTCAGTATTTCTTCATAACTCTATCACTAATGTCAGATAATTTTGACTTGAGAATAATTCGCAAGATAAATTCTTCAGATATTTTTCTAAAAAAGGCTTTGTTTTTTGTTTGGAATTAACAAGCTGACAGTGAACTAGAAGATATATATTTAAACTGTAACCAAAATGAGTCTGTGAAGTGTTTTTATTAGGGCTGGTAGCACTTGGAAAACCTGATCAGGAAAATGTGGTAGAAACTATATTCAAAATAGCATTTAGAAGAGAAGCTAATTCTGTGGAAAAGAAAATTTCAGTAGGACGGGGAAGTGAGTAGCAAAGTTTCTCAAAGTTGGCCCGCCACCTGTGTGGCTATGTGACAACCTCCGATTTTAATATTTATGTTTAAGTAGTTAATAAAATAAAATATTATTTAAAATTTTCTTCAAATCCATCACACAGGATTTAATTCTAGTGTGTGATGGGAAAGCAAAGCTTTTACAATGATGTTAGATTCTGAGACAACCAAGTCCCTTTTGGTAGTCTGTGGCAGTTGAAATAACCCAATAAAGGTCTGAGTCAACATTAACTTTCTGATCATTTCTTTTGAATTTCTTTAGGCAAAAGCTTACTCTCTGGTCAATACATGAATGTATCAACATTGTTTAGTACTATTGTATTTAATCGAGAGGAATCAAACAATATCAAAATCAATTTTGGTCAAAATGCTGACCATGCAAAACTAGAGAGGGCATTAGCGAGAAATGAGGTACTATAAAATTTACAAACTTATTCAGATGGGTTGTGAAATTGAGCAGGTACAAGACAGATTAACGACAAACGTAAACTGTAGCATAGATCAGAAAGGCATTGGGATGTAACTCAATGACATATGAAATTAAGGGACAGTTAGGTTTTAAAAGTACCAGTAGACACTTAACCATGTTCACACAATGACCTAAATATTCTTTTTTAAAACTAACAAATTGCTAAGATATAAAGTTAAATCAGTGAAGCATATCTACAAATGTATATGAAAGCTTTATACTGCTTTGAATAATATATTGAATACCATGTTAATCCTGTTGCCAAATAAAATTTATGTTTCTGTTAGTTGCTTAAAAAAACAATATAAAAGAAATGAGATAACAAGGTGTAGAGCTGGATGAACACAGCAGGCCAAGCAGCATCAGAGGAGCAGGAAAGCTGACGTTTCAGGTCTGGACCCTTCTTCAGGAA